ACCATAAATATGAGGCACAATATGCTGGCGATAATCAGTTTACGTCGAGCACTCTTGTCCACCACTTCGCCGCTGCTGTCCAATGAGTGACAGTGAGACCAATTGACTGTCGCCGACACCGGTTTGCCATCTTTGTTGCAACAGATCTTCTCGTTGTTTCCGTGACTGCAATACACTATGGAGTCGATTGCCGTCGAGTTTGAAAGTATGCTATCGTATGAAACATTATTTGTCTCTTCGTTTGGTCGCGAGAATGAACTAATTCTGCAAATTTAATCATTTTATAAATTATATAATTTTAAAAACTACAAAACAATAATTATTATTAAATTATAATAACTAATAGTTTATAAAACAAAATTAAGCATGAAGTTTGCAAAATGATCAAGGCACAATTTAATTCACAATTGAATGTTAGCTCTCACTTACAGTTGAGTTTTCTCGTTTAGTGATGTGATTGAAGTCATATCTATAGCGAGTTATGGTTTATATATTATCTGATGTTTAGCTTAAGAACCACTCAATAAAACGTTAAGAAAATCTTCACATAAAAACAATTCAAACGAGAGTTTGAGTAAATTTTGAGTGAAATTTAATCGACGAAATTCACACAAATATATACACTATTGATAGACAACTAATGCAATGCACACGACTCTCATTGAACCGCAAACTTCATGGAAAAGGCAATTGTATTAATATATTAGGAGTCAATTGCCATTGCACTCAGTCCTCAACTTTTTAATTGTGATAATAATCCACAAAATGTGTCTTCATTTCTATCGCCAAACCCTGCAATTCCTTATCACTTGTATTAAACAATTTTTCACTACTTGTATAACTATTTTTATTTGAACAAATCGTTTCAAATATAGCACTAAACGGTGGACTTAAATGTCACTGATGTTAAATTTAACTGTCTTTCTGTATTCATGCATACATTTGATATCAATTTGCGGATAAAAATGTTTATTTAATTAAAATCTAAAAAATTAGATATAATTTCTACTAAATGGTAAGAATTACATGAGAAAAATCATGTAATCTACTGTATTTTACCTTCTATAATAATATAACTTTCTCCAATACATCCTTATAGAATCAATTTATAAATACAGTATTAGTAACTTATTTTAACTCAAATTATTAGTTCATGCAATAAAACAGTTATAATACTAACTTAATTTTGTGAATTATATATTTAACTTATAAATAAAACTCATAAATATTTGTGTTACAATTAGTGTAACATAAATGTTGGTATAAAACACCTGTCTTACATTCATATGATATTATTAAAATCACGTACAATTTGATCAATTAATAATTTTATTAGATTTGTATACAAAATAAATTATAATTATTTACCAAAATTATAATAACTTTTTGTTTCTTTCAAAGTCAATGCATTTAATTCACTGCTGACGTTAGATATTTGATTAGACAAGACTGTGTCACAAGTGGTTAGTTTAGTAATTTGTGTTTATCATTTTAACAGTACATAAGTTTTTACAGTAAGTTTTACAATCAAAAGTGCCATTATATTAGAAATGCATTGATTTACCATAGTCAGTTACTGTAATATTAACAACCCATAGAATTGAATGATCGGTGTTTTATCAAGTTCTTCCCTAATATTGGTTACACTAATAATGAATTCCTTATACTGTATCCCTTTTTATATTACATTTTGTGTAGATTTGAGATAATAGATGAGCACACCTTTTTACCCTACCCTTACGTAAACTATATGAAAATCAATTATCTTTACCTCTAATATACGGCTGTTATCACGAGTTATGTCCAGAGCCGTCAATATTCGGAAATAACAACAACTAAATTCGGTCGGGAACCGGGAATAAACCAATTAAATTCAGGAATATTCGGGAATTATTAAAATACTTATACTTTTTTTTGTATAAATAATATATTGACACTTTACCGGTATTAAAACGATTTAATTCTACAAAAATTTGTTAATACTTTATGCACCGAATTTCAGTATAAAATTTTGGCATTATAATCCCTTTATCACACATGATGTGAACTTTATTGCCGATTTGGTATTCATTTAATATTTCATTATAATTTTTAATGAAAAATGTTAATGTTTTTTTTAGAAATTTTGCATAAAATGTGGTTTTCGGGAATTTTCACAAAACATGCCAAAATTGGGAATATTTGGGGAAATAAAAGTGATATATTTTTACTCTATTATAACCCCAAAACTATGTTATTCCCGAAAATTCTATTAACTATTTTTATTTGGGAAATCCCGAAAATTATATGCTCTAGTTATGTCTATTAGAAAGGTATGCAGAATGTATGGAAATGTATATCGAAAAGTACGGGCAGGTAGTTTGCATTAATGAGTGCAGTTATGTTTCATATTAAGCGTGAATATAAGCCGTTATTCTAATAGTTAGAGCAAAACTTATTGATCGTAAACTTTTGCATAAATAATTGCGATAATGAATGCTATGACACAAACTATGGGCACAAATAAATTATACCCTTGACTTCAAAGACTGACTGGTCATTAATATCGGAAAATATTTGATCGCATACTGTATAGGGAATAGAGTTATCAAATGTTTAATTATGTAAATAATTGTATTATTTGCAGACAAAACACAATTTTAAACAAACAAAAAGTTTATTTTCTTTTTCGTTCAATCGTTTAGTGAAGATTTCGGTCAAATTTATTAAACAATTAGTGAATTAAATGCCAAATTTGTTAACAGAATGCATGTGTTTGTTATAAATCATGCGGTTGTTGAGCCACCGGTTGTTCCGCACTATAACTATGCTATTAATATATGCGTTAAATGTTGTGCTAATACTTGTCTCTCAATCTCTCTCTCTATAATGAAGTCAATGTTCTTTTGGGCACAAATTTTTTTGACAAGTTTTTTGTTGAATATAACAACAAAAAAAACGGAGAGATTTAAAGCTCTTTTTAGTTGATTGCACTCTAAATAATACAAATCACATACTATTTAATAGTAGCGCATATATAAGGAGTGCAGTAAAGGCTTAACCATTTGAGACACGAATTAAAAGGACTGGAGATCTAAAGGATACACAAGAGAAGGGAAAAAAGGGATCCGAAACTGAAAACCAGTTAAAGACTTGGCTCTCAGTAAAGTGGGTGTGAATTATAACAGAAAATTTTTCATTTATAATAATGTTATATAACTATACAGACTGTGTGTACACTATAGCACACGGAGATTAATATTAATAGGAATACACTATATGTATAGTATTTAGTGGTGGAGTTTGTGTTTGTACTGTACGTACAGTACTTCTGTGTTGTAGTAATGCATTCATCCATACATTCGCTGTATTGCTATTGAATTGAATTTCCACTCAATTCATAGACAACTACTAGTATTGAGTCTCACTATAAATGCCATTCAATTCACAACAAAAATACACTGAATTTCATATATAGTGTATACGTAAAGATGGTCGCAATCGACTGAACCACAAAATCACCATCATCATCTTACAACACCCTTTATCACCACAATATACATCTATACTTTTGTCTCATAGCGTGTGTGTTATTGTGTTTTCCTAATTAAATATTGACATTAAAATTGAATAATAATTATATACACAATACAAGTGTAATGTCTATACAGCCTATGATTACATCAATTCATTAGACGTTTTCATTCATCCAAAATATTTATTTATTTTAACTTTTTGTTTGTTTTCTGCGGATATCATATCATTGTTAACAATGAATGCATTCAGAAAATCAATTGAATTTTTTAATTTCAAACACAAATTAATTATTTAATAATTGAATTGTGAATTCAATCATAATATTGAACAATAAGTTGCAAATTGAATGCTAGGAAACAAATAATGCATTTCTCGATAGCAGACACTCAACTCATTAAAGACCAAAATCATTCATTTGTCGTAAGTTTTATCATATATTTTAATTACAATTAATAAAAATTGATTTAATTAATGACTCGATCCTTATTTTTGGTCTCCAAACAGACATATAATATATCAATCAATGGCTCATTTCATTGTTCCCTAAGATATAAACAATTGTATAATTTTCACGATCAGGTACTTTGTCTTTAAAAATATTTTTAATTATAAATTATATTAATATATATTCATCTATTGGATCAATTGATAGCTGAAGAGGACATTTGGTGCCAACACTTTGCCATTGTTTCCGCCGAAGAGGTTATTGCCATTGACTGCAACTCAGACCGAAGAGAGACGATCTCAGATCGAGAAATACATTCAAATCAGTAATTAATTATAATTTATTTAAATGACTGCCATTTTATCGGCAAATATGATCACTTGTCCATTGAATGAGTTGTTCTCAAAATAGATCACATCTTCATTGAGATCCAGTTTTCAAGTGTTTATCTCTTGAATAAGACACGCCTTTTCCGGGTTTTAATTTTAGCTCAATTAACAGATAATTTGAAAAATATGTTGATCTTAATTAAGCTTTGATTTAACTTTTAGTAATTTTTGCATTTAATAAACAATTTTTTGTTGTTAGATATTTTACTAACAAAACTGATTTAATTTTACATTTGAATTGAAGTTAAGATTAATTGAATGATTTTGATATTAATTAATGTAATTTATTTGTTTTATCGCCGGTTTATAGTAAGTCAAGACCAACGGATAGTATCCAGTGATCTGTTCAATGGATTCTTTCTCAATGGACAACAGGAAACACAAAACACCAAAAAAGATGAAGTGATTCTCGATGTGTTTCAAATGAATTGGCAGTCAATCAAAGTGCAGATCTTATCCACCGATCGGACAGACATTGTGTTGGATTCGGTGTCCAAAGCGCTGGAATTGACGCCACAATTGATTCCATACTTTAATCTGTTTGTTGTCAAACGGGTCGACAATATATGCATTCCCATCAGAAAACTCCAGAACTTTGAGTCCCCGTATCTCACGCTTCGGACACTGAATTCGGTGGACAGCAGTCACGCGATAGTCATCCGGAAGTCCTATTGGGACTCCATTTACGACGACGATCTCTTCGACGACAGAACTGCTGTCAATATATTATATTTCCAAACACTCCATGACATTGAAAAGGGTTTAATTCAAGCCAATAAAGAGATACGAAGACAGTTGACATCTCTTCAGGCAAAAGGATCCAAAACAGAAGTATAAGAAATTACTTTTATAGAGTATATGTATATTAAGTTTTATGTCATTTTCACTAACAAATGATTTATTTCATTAAATTTTGATAGTATTTGCAATTATCGCGAACTTTGAAATATTACGGATACATTCAATTCGAGCCATGTTTTTGTGATTTCCCGCAACAAAACACTCGGGTTTTAATCGCCGCCGGAGGCAAAGAGCTTAACATAAGGGCCTATACGGCAGCGGTTTGTCATCTTTTATTTGATTAATTAATTAGTTTATGTTTTTGATTAATTGATATTAAAACTAATTTCTTGTTTTATGCAAATTTAGGAACAAATGAAAGAATACAGTTTCCGAGTGACGAGAATCCGTTGCTGGCGATTAACCACTTCATTACAAGACAAACTCAATGGTTGTGTCACCGCTAACAATGGTAGCGGTGGAGGCAGTAGTAGTAGTAGTAGTCTTAACACCTGTTCTCAAACTAACGGTTCCGCCACCACTCGGTTCGAGCTCTCATTTGAATATCTGCTCAGTAAAGATCATTTGCAATGGATTACAATAATTAGTGATCAGGTATTGAATATATTGGTATAATTTAGATAATCATTGTTTTCAGTCTAATGTTGTGGCCATTTATTTGTAGGCAATTTTGATGAGCGTTTGTTTGCAAGGAATGGTTGAAGAGTTACTTATGAAACGAAATGGCAAAAAGATTAAGCGCGAAGAGCCGGCGCTCCCGACCGTTAGTAACGGCTTCGGCGGCACTCGAAGGGGTTCCTGGAGTTATATGAAGAGAGACGGCAGTAGTCATCAAATATCACTTCCCAGAAGTGTGTCCACAGATGCAGGTCTGACCAACTCTGGCGCCGAACTTCATAATAAAGTATGTGTTGTTTTTTGTGAAATACTTTCATAATTGTGTTATTTGTTATATTAATTGTGGATTTAATAATTTCAAGCCATTGAAGTCATCCCATTCCTCACACAACGGATTTCCTACAAAATCGCGACATTTTGTAGAAAACGATGCCTTCAATGGAATCGGAGATATCGGTGACGACGACTTATAGGACAATATAATTGTTTTAAAAAACGGTTAAGTCTTTTATACTACGAAACAAAATAAGTATTTTTAGGACAAAACATATTGTGTATACCATTTCGCAAAATAGCGGCCAAAACAATGAATTTGAAGTGTTTTTTAGGAATATATCAAAACCGACTATAGATTTGCCAAAATCTTAATTTTCTCTCCAATTTTTATAGATTTAAATTTTACGTTCATTTTTAGTGTTTTTAGATATTTTTTGTTTCTTTATATACCAATAATATAAAACTGATCCAAACGTTGCCTTTTGAATAGTACAGTAAAACTCATGATACAAAACATAATAAAAATCTGACAAAATATCTGGTGATAGAAATCCTTCAATAAAAACAAATGAAAATAAGTTATTGAAAACTCTCGACTGAAAAAAATGACAAAATCTGTTTCTTTTTCCTGTGATTATTATATTATTTATACCTTTTATTCAATTCTTTTGTATTTTTAAATAATAATATCAGTAATAATTTTTGAGCGCAGCTTTTATTTGTATATAAATTCAGTTTTAATTATTATTTTACATTCTAAATATAATTACCGACATTTTTATGTGCAAAAAACGAGAAAAAATCAAAGTTTATATTAAAATATTAGCAAAAAATTATTCATACAAAAGATCAATACTTTTTTTTTGTCAACGCGTTATTGGGCTTCAAAAGAGACGGCCGTTTCGTTGCCGATATAATAGGCGCCCTCTTTATAGTAGGCCCTCAACTGAATGACCGCCTCTTTGGCGAACGACTCGCTGATGACCGGCGAACGGATCAACTCTTTTACCACCGAAAACTTGGCTTCTTTGCCCTCCTTTGAGGTCTCTGTCGATCGATCCATAATGTATTGGAGGAAACCGGGAGTGGAGGCCAACTCCTTCTGCCCCCACAGGAATGTGGCCAACACTCGCACGCACTCAATGGCCGACAGCCGCAGTTCGAGGAACGGCTCCTTCGACAGCCGTAATAGAGTGGTCACCCGATCCGCGCCCAGGAATAGCTGAAACCACTTCTCAGAGAAATTGGTGCCCAAATCAGTGGCGTCCGTTTCGTTCAGTTTGAGGACATGGGAAACAGCATTCAGTGCTCGCATTTTGTGATCAGTGTTGCCACTCCTCGTCAAATGACTCGCGGCCGCCATAAAACTCTTCGACATATCCGGGTCTTTGTTGACAATCGTTTTGCCGGCGTTTTTATAACAGACAACAGCGATGGCGTCGACGGCACTCAGTCTCAGCGTAATGTCTAAGTCTTCTAACAATGACTTCAATTTCGACAAAACAATCGGAAAATTGTCCAAAATTTTGGGCTCATTTGCGGCCAAATTGCCGAATATCTTAATATAACCGGGAATTAAGAGATTTCCAAATATATCACTCCCGCTGTCGTTCAGTCTCTGAGCGATTGTCTTCAGAATGTCTGACGTCTGAAGATATTCGGTGCCGAAAGAAGTTGAGCCCAAATCTGTCATTATTTGCAGAATATTCAGTGTCA